GATATAGTTGAAAAAATACTCCAGAGTCAAGACTTCAGTTTAGACTCAAGTGCAGAAGGTATGGAGATAAATAAGGAAGCTTACAGAAAATTTATGTACATTACAGGCCTTAGGAAAACTCACTCTCTTCACAGTCCCTGTTGTTTGTATTCATAAGGACTGTGCTACATTTTCTACTCTATCTTACCTACCAAAAATTGAAAACACTCTTATGTGACTCAGGGAGCTTTCCCAGATGATTACTTTAAGCCTAAAAGAGCAGGTGCAAATCTATGACAAAGGTACTTCCCCCAGCCTACACCATAAAGTTGGTTCTTCATTACCTAAAGTATTTGTATCTGCAAGTGTCAGCTGCAAAATAGGTAGATTTAAAATTACTTGGATTTAGCTAGGACAGCATTAAAGAAAGCTAACATATTTTGATCATTTGCCTTTTAGAAGAAGGTTTAAGATTATTTGTGGGCCCTGGTGGAAGCACTTCTTTTGGAAGCCACCATCTACCTAACAGGTAGGTAGCCTGAACAACTAATCCATAGGCAATACTAAATAAAAATGCATCTTATACAGCAACTACTCTGTATCTACATTCTTGACCTTTGTATCTTTCTATTCTGTATCATTTAAAAGCACCAAAAGTGCCGGATTGTCTATAGTTTTTAAATAGGACACACAGATTAGTTCCAAAACAGAACTGATGTGTTAGCCATCAGAATTGTAACTTTCAGTTTCTGAAGAGTCTCAGTTCCAAGGTTTTCAGATACAAGCAACATTTCAGTATGGACACAGGAAACAGACACCAGTTTCAAGTGGGAGCTCTACAGCCTTATTATGTTACTCTGGAATGGGAAGAAAGTTTTAAGTGTTTTACACATCTGCCTTTACAGTATCAAACTGTTTCATCTTCCTGATAACAAGCCTCATTTTCTTCAGTTCAATTTTTCCCACAAATCCTGCTTCCTGTTACATTACTTGTTTCAATGGCTTGTTCATCATTCAAGTATTTGCAGCCCTAAACTCTTTTGATAACCTGTTTCAGGTTATCTTATCATTTAGAACCAGAGACCTTTTTTTCTTCTCTAAACCTTTTTCAATCCTGATATATGACTTGACCTGAATGTGTTAATCTTCAGATGAGAAACCATGAAAACCAGGCAAGAATATGTTTAATACTGTGTTTCTGCAGACCAATATAACTCAACATCTATAACTGAAGAAATCAGAATAGCCTCAGTATTTCAGCAATAACTATGGACTTAGATATAAAGGCAGTTGATAATATCTTCAAAGTCATGAAATAAGTGCATTTTATATGTGCATGTAATACTAATGGTTAAATTAATTGGCTGATCTGCAAACTGGACACACCAATACCTATCTAGGACCACATGAAAGGGTACAGAAAACACTCCTGTAGCACACAGAGATCTGTCCTACTGCAGCTGCCAGAACAGTCCAGGCACAATACTGTACCAAGGCAGAGCTTGCCCTATGAATTTTTTACATAGTACTGCAATTTACTGTGGAAAACCACCCACTATGGGCTGTCATGTGGGAGGTGAGAGAGTTTTGTTTACAATTCAGAGGGAACAAAAGACTGAAGATGTTTTTCTTGTATCTTAATGTAAGATGACAATCACTTCTGAGTTTTTTAGACACACTGACTTGTTTATACATAAAATGTATATAAAGACTATTAGCTGCATATGATACAGCTGTGGGGATGGGTACCCTAAACGTGATGTTTAAGAAATTTTAGTGAAGTTCAACAGTAACTTCTTGTTCATAACATTAATCTTTGTTCATTTTGACTGTAGTACAACAAAATCTCTTTAGTGTATTAAAGAGTAGGTGACTCTATGGCATGGTAATAATGACAAATGTTTTCTACCCTTCACATTTGGCTGGTTTGGTATTTGCTGTTTGTTTGGTTTTGTTGGGTTTTTTTGGGAGGAATGAGTTGTTTAATCAATACACTTGCTGATATGTGATATTTGCTATTTAGCTTCCATTTAAATTAACACTGAACTAACTTTTTTCAAACTTTCAGAGTAGGATCTGGAGCATACGAGCAGGTGGTGATAAAACGCTAAACTGGAATGTCAAATGTGGAAAACTCGGAGCTCTGGTTTTGATACTCCTGGTACTGTTTGCTCTGCTGCAAGAGCTGAGAAAGACAAAATGAACTCAAGGTGATCTTTTTCTGAAAAGCAGTGGAATGCCTCTTGCTCATAGAGCACCATCTTCTGTGGTATGAAGGCAATGTTTAGCTATGTGTACCTTGTGAGAGCACCTGGACTGTTTCTGTAAGCTCTGTCTGATGTTGGTGGAATTATTTCATTTCTGTGAAACATCTGTGGAAGCATGTCCCATTTCAATTTAAGAGATCACTTGCAGTGATGGACTTTGTTTGTAACACTGTTTTTAAAGAAACTTAGAAAGCTGGTCTTAAAAGAACCTGAAAAAAGTAATTTACTGAATTTGATCCTACATGCCATTTTAGTTTTACAGAAGCTAATTACTCCTATCAAGTCAGTTTTTATCGGTCAAAGTTATGGCCTACAAAAAACAGGCCAGCCATGTTTTAACATAACCAAAACCTTCTCTTAAGACAACTGAGCACAATTTCATTGTAAGGTTCAACAGAAGAGGTGAATGTCACATACAGTTAGAACAAACCCCCAAAACTAAATAGATCTAAACCAGTCACTTATCAGTTGTGTTTACTGTAAATTAAGAAGGCAACAGGTTTAAATGCATCAAATGTGACTTTTTTTTTGTTCAAGTGATGAAAAAGGTGGGATTCCACTCCAAAACACTAAGGCACAATAGCATTTTATTAGGAAAGCTGCTTTGATTGTTAAATCTGGAGTTCAGCAGCTGCTCCCACAGAAACTCACTTTGATAATGCATGAACATTGAGATCCAATGGGATGGTACTGTTTACAAACCTAGTCAGTAGTTTACTACCACTTAATGTTTTTAATAGCAGTTTAATCCTTCACAGTCAGTGCTTTGCTTGTGTTTTGAATGTGCCTTGCGGGATTGGGGTGTACAGGGAGGCTAAAGCATTTACTAAGGAATTTAAGCTTTAAAACTAGGTAAACATCTATATCTACTATTATTGATAGAACTTGTTACGAGAAGCACTTTATTGTAGACATACTCTGCACACTGAAAAAGTCTTAGTGTGCAACAGCTTTGTTGAACACTTCTTTTGCTATCTGTCCACTGTTACATTAGGTCCATGTACTGTATTGAAATTTGCACAAGTAGTGATTTGCCTGACAGGCAAGAAAGAGCTCTTTAAATTTTCATTTGGAATATGAAAGAATCCATTTTGAAAGGGATGTGTTGGGTAACAAATAGGTGTAATTAATTGTAAACTGCAAATGACTTTTTTTTTTTTTTTATTTAGTGGTACTGTTTATCAGTTAAGGCCTGGAATAAGTGAAAATAGTGTCGTCACTTTTGAAAGCTCAGAATGCTTCAGGTTTTGCTCAGAGTGATGTTTGACACCTTTTTGTTGATGTAAAAGTAGTCCATATTTAAAAGGTTAAATTAGCAAAAGCAGACTTTGTTTTCCAGAAATCCATAGTAGAATTATTGAATTTTTATTTCTGTTTTTAATGAAATTTCAGCTTTCAAAGCCAGAATGCTGTTATTGAAAATGATGAATATGAGCTATTTCTCAGTTTTGGTACTTCCATACTTTTATTTCTACTGTTAATTCTAATATCTTTAGAGTGTCTAATTAGAAAAAAGAATTAATACAAAGATTCTATTTCAGCTGCTCTTAATAGAAGTGTGGTATTATCAGTTTCTGTTCTACACAGGAATTTTTAAACAGAAGCTACTCAACTGCTGGTATACAACTCTCTCTCAGAACATTATAGTCTCCTTTCTGTTATATAACTAATTCATACCAAAAAATCCCATTGCGAGCAAAAGATGCCAGAAATTTGAATACATTCTTTGTTTTCAGTACTCTTTGACACTGCTATACTTCTTGACAAATCCATTAAAACTAGTAGTAGTTAAATGGTAGTTTACTTACATTTACTAGGAAAACTACATGTACTTTGAGGAAAACAGACTTTTAAAAAACACTGTACAGCTGCTTATGTAATTCTCAAGGGAATTTCCATAGCATTTTATGTTAAACAACACAGCTGATGGTCATGGATAAGATAATTTGTTTATTAGAAACAGTATTTTCTTGCCTGAGCAGATCTTTTAATTAATAAGGAAATTGACATAGAAATTCAGCTTTTCATAAAACTGTATCTCAGTAATTTATTCTTCAGACTTGACTTACAACTCTTCATGAAGTGATAATCTAATTATGTATCATGTAAGTGGAACATAACCTTCACATTTAGGTGCTGTATTTTCTTTTTTGTAAACTATGTTATATGAATACTGGAGATTTCCATGTTGTAAACTGTTTGGGATGTACTGGTGGATTATATGTTTTTTTAACTGTATTTGAATACAAATCTCTCAGACATTCAATAAACTCATGTCTTCAGCTTGCAATTAATTCCTAAGGAATTTACTCTTTTTCTTTAATGCAAAAAACTACAAACTTAACTGGAAGTTTGAGTCTATTTCAGTTTTTCTTCCAGTTAAGGATTTCTTTTTAAAATGCTTTGCTTTTTTCTGTGTTATCACAAAGTGACATCTATATTATCAGGAAAATGTGTCATTTAGATCCCATTCTTTTTCTAATCTAGAAGGAAAAATTTTAAATTCAGAACACTGTTCTGTTCAACTATTCTGACCATAACCAAACAATAGATACCCACATGATTTCCCTTATATTCAGGATACTGCACTCTTTTCTTGATGTTGGTGTTGGAGAGGTTTTTTGGTTGTGTTGTGGGGTTTTGTTCTTGTTAAATTTTTCCCATCTACTCTACTTCGATTTTATATGTTTGAACAAAAGCTGCACATGAAAACAGAAAATTTTTCAACTACACCAGAGATAGGTTAGCATTCACAATTACTGCAGTTCTTTAAATTTTTTAATATTTTTTCCAAAACAGAACAAATATGCCAGTTTCATATTTCAATTCAGCAGGAGCAACATTTGGTTTTCATCAAGGCTGAGTATGTACTCATCTTGAAAAAGGCATCTATAAATTTTAAAGAAATTAAGAAAAAACTTGCCCTAAACTTATGTCTGACTCACATTATTCAGCTCAAGACAGTAGATGGTAAAACAAACTATCCTTGAAGCTAACAAGAGACTACCAGAAATAATCTGTAATGATAGCTACAATAAAGCAATAGAAAGCAAACAGCAATGCTTCATTTTCTTCTTGGGAACGAATTCCTTCCTTTTAGCCCCTGATACTCACTTGAAAGCCCTATGAGTTACTGTTACCTTTGTCAGAAGCACTCCCCTTCACTCAGTGAGAGGTGCTGACATATAAATACCACTGATGGAAGGTTAGAAAAGCTTTTGTGGTCCGGTTAGCATACAGAACATACCATTTGACAGCTTCTACAAAACCACTTTCATTACTTCAACTGAATTTTGTTTGAGAAATCTGATCTAATTATCTTCATTTTCATGTTCAATATTGAACATCACAGCAGAACCATCACTGCTCAGTGTGACCTTGCCTGCAATAAGCTCGCATAACTTCTCAAAGGTACCACAAAGTCGATTCACTTTGGGAAAAGAAAAGATTGTTGTGAGAGGTATGTAAACCTCATTGCCACTGACAAATGGTTCCATGGTTTTTTCAACAACCAGTTTTCCAAGATAGTCAGAAAAACAGTCCATTGAAAGTTGGAATTTGGATTTTCTCTCAGGATCATCACTGTACTCCTCACGTTTTGACATTAAACGGTGCTTAATGATTTGGGCTGTGAAAATAACTTCACTGATCACTGCATTCTGCAAGTACTTCTCATCTTTAAGACTTGGGTACACTGCTTTGAAGACCTTTACAATATACAAGAATACATAAAATGTTTATCATTATCACAAGCTCAGATTTTAACATCTCCTGTCCAAAAAAGCTTCTAAAATGTGGATATATTTTTTTATTCAATCCTGTTTTGCTTATTAAACAGTTTCAGGTAACAAAACCTAGGCAATATAAGCTGGTTTTCTTTATTACATCTACACTAGCAGTTAATTGAACTTAAACAAACACCCCAAAACCCAACAGGCAATATCTGCAAGCTACACTTATAGATCAGGCAAGGTAAAGCCCTGCAATTCTTCACCTCTTTTTAATAATTCTCTTACTTCTCACATTATGGAGCTCTCTGCAAGCTACACTTATCAATCAGGCAAGGTAAAGCCCTGCAATTCTTCACCTCTTTTTAATAATTCTCTTACTTCTCACATTATGGAGTTCTGGGGACATTCTATAGTGATGGAGATTGTAAACTACTTCTGAATTGTCATCTGGAAACCAGGACTATAGCATGTCATTTATTGTTTTCAGAGTCAAACATTAAATATGCTCTCACAGCTGTAAGGAATGCTAAAAATAAATTGTGACATCAAAATCTGGGAAACTGTAGTGTGTTACTGAGCTATACTCCAAGGCAATTAAGGAAACCAGGCAGGCTATCTCATTCCCACCAGGTTATAGGAAGTGTTTTATACCAATCAAGTTCCACTGTCTATAATTATTTCTTACTTTCCAATTACACCTTGAAATGTTGAATTATTCCTATAAATTAGTTACCTTATAAAAATTAATTTGATAAGAAACACACAAAATTAACACTCTTGTTTAATCTCAAAGGATACCCATGTCAAAACTCTGCAAAATGACCCTGTACCAGGAGCTAATGAAAGCAATTTCTAGTACATGTCCATCACCTAGATGTGTTTCCAAGTCTGGTGAGCATTAAAGACCATTTCATTAATCTATTAAGGGCAAGAGATGACAGGTGACATTTCACATGCGCAGAAATTTCCAATACAGGAATTACAAATGTTTTTTATTGCTTGGAAACCATAAAAGATAAAGCCATAACACAACTTTACGTTTCAGTTCAGGTCACATTTAGCAAGAAATGTTTTTTTTTAAATTTTTTATGTATCTGAAAAATGTGTGTCATTGCCGACAGCCACATAATAAAGAAATTTAATGACTAGAGGAAAAATAGCTGGCAGAAAGGAAAAATTTCATTGCAAGGATAGGAGTATCTTAAGATAAGAATGATTATCCATATTGTTATTTAGCAAATACCCTAAAAGTTTAAGGCCTTTGTACAACTGGAAACACAAAGACTGAGACTGTCTTGCTGTGATTGTCAGCAGTATTTCCTGGTAATGACCTCACAGGCAGTCATAGACAACTTTACTCTTTATTCACACCTCTGAAAGAAGAAAATAATACTTACTGTTTTGTAAACTGCTTCCATGGGTTTCTCAGACTGAACAGATTCAGCAGTTTGAGGGTATTTTCTAAAAAACACACCTATTTGGGTACAAAACCCAACCTTCTCCATTCCTGTTGGTGGGTGCCCAACACCAGTAAATTCCACTGAGTAATCATAGCATCTAGCAGTCTCTAGAGCCCTAAGAAAGACCAATTATTCCAATTATATGAAATATTCATCTTTCCATGTGATAAAGATCCATTCTTTAGGAGAATCAAGACTCTAAGGCCGCAAAGGCTTGAATATAATTTCTCTAACAAAACTCCCATGCCTGAAGATAAGCACTGTCACATCTTGTTGTACCAGAGCTGTAAGATGCCTACCATAGTCTGAATCATTTAGTATCACTAATTTAGCCACCCAAACATTACTGTTTCTTCTACAATATGTGCATGAATGCTCACAGCTGCTTACTCACCAACCTGGAAGTCAGCTAAAATCTGATTTTCAAGAACAAGATTATTTGAGAAGAACCCATGAAAAACACACACCTTTAAACCACAAGAGACCAGTTAATAGAGAAAGTGTGGTTTGCTGTAAATATAGGAACACTAAAATCTACCTAATCCAGGTTACAATAGTGTATGTAACACCTAAATGAAAAGTATCTTGTATCATCAGCCAGTGTGAACAAATGGGGCAGGGAACCAAAACTGTGCTACCTACCTGCATCATTCTCCATGGAAAAGAAGAAAACTAAATTAGTATCTCATGTATTTTAGAGAATAATGTAATACGTCTATTTCACAACACAAAGGCTTTCTCATGTTTACAGCTCAAAAAACCCCTACATTTCTTCAGTGATATCAATATTTTAAATTCATATCTATCTAAAAGCAAAATCTAAATATACTTGAAGTCACAGAAATTTTCTCTAAGGTATTCTAAGGTAGCTAATTATAGGCAGGTTTTAGTATTGTTATGTAGGGAAAAATGCATGCTTCCAGCTTTGGAAAAACATTTACTCAAAAATCACTGGATACTTTAAAGTGTATGGCAGAAACAAGGGGCAAAATTTCCAGGATAGATACACCAAGAGTTGGGTACTGAGGTATGGCATTCTTTACTGTACCATGTATTTTCTTCCACAACTGCTTGACAGCTGAATGTTATCAGAGCATCCCACTGTCTCTTTGTTTTATTTTTATTACATTCCTGATATTAAGGGTAAAATAGATCTCATATAACCCTCTGTCATGTGCATATGATTTGCATTAAATCCTTTATTGTGCCATGATCCATTAAACTATACTGTGTTCAACATGCCCCACTGCTGTGGCTATCTGATAAATCTGCTTGCATACTGAGTGCTTTGATTACATACCATATAAAGCAAGCACATTTCTTGGATTTTATTAAGAATTTCTATAGCAGGGTATTATGCAAAAATATTAATTGATACTTTATCTTTCAACTGTGTTAATTGTGATAAAGATATATAAAGAGTAAGTAAAAGTTTTAAATCTTTTTTTGTACAGCAGTTCAAGTAAAAGCCAATTTAACCACCATCATAAAATACAAAATCCACAGAATATGTTTAACTGCTCTCAACAGCAGGGAAACCACCAAATCAGGAGGTGACACTTCACTGACAGTAAACCACATAAGTGAACTATTCTGAAAATGCACAGCCATTCACACTGCTGGGCACTCAGAGCTGCATCATGTGCACCCAGCATATGATGTTCAGTACCTTACCAGCTTTGAAACTCTGCTTGGCTCCACTCGAATTTGTGGTCTGGATGCCTGTATAACATCACTCCTGGAAGCAAACAGTTGAATTCAGAATTTGGAGTGCTGATCACAACTATGCTTGGAGCCATGAAACCAAACACCACTTCAGGAAACTTCTTCAGCTCTGATTCTTCCAGATGTTCTATTCTGAAAAGAGTGAGTTGATGTCTGTGTTTAAAAACACACTATTATAACCTTAACAACCAGTCAAAAGAACCCCAAACCCCTATCTGTAACTTGTAATTTTACACCTATCTCTGCAATATGAGCACTGGCACTGTGGCCAAGTGGCAGCACAGGGGATTTTGTCTGAGCAAATCTCCTCTTGCATTTTGTACGTTTTCATCAGTATCCTCTTCTGGCCATAAGCACTACCTGAATTACTTAGTATGTTAATTTAAACACAAGTTAGGAGCCACTCTTCTACGTTCTACTTTTCAAATTCTGCTCTTCTGCTTGAAAGGTTTGATCAAGCCTGTTTGGAGCATGGACAAAATTCCAAACTGAACTCTAATGGACTTAAAAAAGCATTTTGTATTGTCCTAATACTCACAGTTCAATACACGTCACCAAGTCAAAACCAAGCATGCAAGGATCCTTATGGGCAACTGAACCATGATGCAAGGTAACAGTTAGGGATCTTTCAGATGGTTGCAAATAATCAACAGGAAGAGGAGACAGTGTATGCCTACAAAAGTATTAAAAATATGATGTTACAGGAAGCACCTTAAAACAAGATAAATAGTGCATGAAAATGAACTAGCTAACACCCTGCAGAGATACCTCATGAATTTCAAAAAGGTTAACTACTTGACATGGATATAAAAAAGAATATGCAATACAAACACTTCTAACTACCTATCATAGGACAGAAAGGGCAGAAGTTAATCCAGAAACTGTCCTTCGTGTTCACAAATATTTCCATTATACTCTCAAGTCACCTGGAAAGCTACTTGTAAATTCTGATAATAGTTCAACTCCAGATACACAGTAAGTCTGGTTTAGACAAGCTTTGCAGGGTTTTGGGGGGAGTTTTGGGCAAGCATATTCCCTATTTTTTCCAAGTAAAATACACTGAGAAACCAAGTACATGTGCAAATTTCATTCTGAAGTACAGCATTAGACAAAACACAGAATAAATATTACATATAAAAGGTTACTTCTCCTCATTCTTGAGAAAGAGCGAGAGATAACATCCAGATCCTACAGACTCATTGAAATTGTGTTAATCTGCTTTCAGTAAATCTACATTCATCCATTGGACCAACCCTTCAAAGATCACATAAACCTCTCATTTTAGAGAGGTTCTAAACCAGACACCACACACTGAGCTAACCTTCCTAGTTCAAAATGATAAACAAGTCCCCACCTTGGTGACTAAAGTTCCATGCACATCTCAAAAAGATCAAAACTGATCTTCCTGAAGACAATAATGTCACGTATAAGCATACATAGATATTCCTAACACCATGCATTAGTGCCATTACAAACAGTGTATTTCTCAGGTGTGCACACCCTGAGGCCTCTGCAAGCAGGGGGAATGACAGAGCAGCTTTTGTCGAGCTCCTGGCTCCAGCCAGGGTGAACCCACCACACCACTAGGGAAAGACAAACACAAACCTCAAAGCCATCAAAGAGCTTACATTTTCTCTTTCATTACATTTGCACAGATATCTAGCCCAGCTAACACTTCAATGCAACTGCAGAATTTCAGCATCCAGAGAAGGCTGCAATCAGCACATCCTAAATCTGCCACCTGTAAATTAGATATTAAAAAATGTATAAATGTTAGATAGTATTAAGTAATTTCAGAGACTTGCATAAAATTAAAATTCCATACTTATCAAAATAACTTTTCAATATAAAGCATTTCCGAATCGTAATTAAAATTTACAGCTGTAAGCAAGCAGGATAGATGCAGATTTGAAAATTCTCTTTAAAAAATGTATATGAAGATCCTGCAAGATTTTTTAAAAAGAATTAACCTTTTGTTACTACAGCTATAATCAAGTACATGTAGGACATCCCACTGACTCTGGAAAATGTCTTCCACATGAGTAACAGTAAAGTATGATTTTAAGCACAAAAGCTGCAGCAATTTTCACATTCACCACTGCTTTTCACTGGGCTGCTCTCCTTCCAAAACACTGAGAACAGGCTCACCAGCAGCCAAGTTAGCAGCAAAGAATCTGCATAAAACAAGTTTACAAGCTCAGTCTAATGTTTAAGTGGGGAACTTTGGGGATATTCAGACCATGAAGTCAAATAATAAGGTATTCTTTCCTGTAAGCTAAAGAGATAGTTGAGTATGTAAAGCAACTCCCACTGTTCTTTCTCAGGCTCAGTCAAGGTTGAAGCACACTGCTGCTCCTCATGTGAAAATCCTGAGTTGTTTCTACCCAGTTTATCTACTGTCTGTGTAAACAGAAAGTTCACTGTCCCACCCCTTCCATATCCTAAATCAGAAAATTCAAACCTTTAAAGACAGATGCAACACTGGTGAATGCATTCTATTTTAAAGCATATTACAGTGCCATGGCATCATAGACTGGATTGGATTTTTATTAGCTAGTAGAAGTATGATTCCATAAGTAATGCAGGTGCATCAGTTTCTTGCATGCCCTATTAACATCGCTTTAAGAGTTAAACTCTGCAGACTTGAGAAGATTTTTTTGGGAAGGAAGTGAGGAGGACACAGAATATTACTTAAACAATTTAGCTTTTCACAGTGAGTAGTAAAACAAAACTTCTGGTACACTGGGGGGACACAGGTGACAAGACACGTAGAGGGGTCACAAGATCTTAAGAAAATGGAGATGAGTTAGCCTCACATAATCCCACACTCTCAATGTCACTTCTCATCTGAGACTATCCATGCAAATGATGAAATAAACCTGACACACTACATGGAACTAACAGCTCTGGAAAGCAAAACCCAACTATGAGGAAAGCAACTTGAACCAAATTCCGCAGCATTATATTAAAAACAGAATGCCCACTACATTCAAAAACAATCAAAGGCATTTCTCTTGTTTAAATATTCTCTTCTTCCCATCAAGTAACATTAATTTTATACACCCCTGCAAAACAACATATCACAAGGTATCTGCTAAGGACATTCAATTTTAACACTCCTTCACTCTATTGTTTGGTAATTAGGTCAACAGGTTATTTATGCATTTTGTGTCCCTGAGATGCCAAGTATCAATTTAATTCCAAGTTTATAACCTAAAGAGACAAAACATACCTTCTTAGGTTTGTACTTCTCCACTAAATCTTTAACAAACTGGTGGCGTTGTTTGTACAAAGGAGGTTCAAACTTAATAATCTGCCTAAACTCTTCTTTGAAGTTCTTATCCATAGTATTCTGGGAATCCTAAAATAAAAAGTTAACTCTTATTTTCTGAAGCACTTCACAACTATCCAATTACAAAGTTTGCTGTTTTCAGTGGTATTTGAGTCCCAGTTAAGCAGGGGCAGACCTGATCTGAGTTCTATTCAAAGAATGACAAAAACATTTGGATTAGCACGATTAGGCTGTTCTCTCCACACATAATTATGAAAATAACCTTATGCAAACGACTATAAATCATATACAAATCCAAAAAAGCAAATTTTATAATCTGTCACTCTCCATCCGGCACACCTGGACAGAGACCATAACCAAACACTACAACCAAATGCATCTGGGCCAAGCCTGCACACACCTTGATTGCTCTACGAGGTCTTTTACAAACAAATAAAAATATGATTTTATGTATATATACGCACAAAAGCCGGCTCGGTGTTCAGGCCAGTTCCCCGCCGCCTCAGGAGCTAAGCGGGCCTGCTGGGCTCCCCTCAGCAGTGCCCGCCTAAGGGCCACCCGCGGCACCCCCGCCTGACCCCGCTTGCTCCTTAGGCCCGCCGGCTCCCGACCCCGATATCCACGGCCTCCCGACCCCCGACAGCCACTGCCCCCCGGCCCAGCCACCCCTGCCCTTGCCGGGGCTCCCCCGTGCTTCCCGTCCACCTTCTCTCCCACGGCGAGCTCCCGCCTAGCCCAAGCGGCCGCCCCTACGGGGGTGCGGCATCTCCGGGCAGCGCCGGGAGCTGCGATGGGCAGCCCCCAGTGCGGGGGATGTTCTCTAAGGCGCTTCTGTGAGAGACGATAATGGGCTCCAACGAGCGTCCGCGGGCCCACCTGTTCTACTAACCCGTGCCAGTGTCATTAAAAGGTGATTGGCGGCGGCGAGCGGTGTCCCTACTTTTTTACACCAAACTCCAAAAATCTCGCCACTTCTCATGCCAGTCCCTTGCAGTGCTGCTGTGTCTAAAGCCGCGTGAGCTCCGAGGGAAAGCGCGCTAGGGACCTGCTTGTCATACACAGTGAACTAGCCCTGTCTGGGTGAGTGCGGCAGAGAGCACAAACATCCAAAATCGATGTCTTCTGCAGCGTTTCATTAAGTATTTTCCACGCTAGGGCAAATTTGTCTCTCAGTGAGCAGGCAGCTGCGCAGCTGCACGGTGAAAGTAGAAAGGAAAGCGTGGCTCTTAAATGCGCCATTTCTTCTGTTAACAGCATGCAAAGCTTTTGCTAATCACAGGGCAGGGCTGTTAATATAGTGTAGGCCTGGGATCTCGAAGGAGGCAGGACTCTGGTGCCAATGAAGATAAAGTTACATAAGTTAGATAATTCTTTAAGATTTCAGAATATTCTAGAAATGTATATGCCAACTTTTGGCTAACATTTTAAGTTTCATGGCCTAGACAAAGCACACAGTTACTCTTTCTGGTTGCTGAGTAATTGTTTAACCCTGAACTATCACATAGTACTTACATCTCAACTAGATAAATCTGTAAATTTTGCCCAGTGTTTTTTGGTTTTTTGTTGTTTTGTTTTTTTTTTTTTTTACCTCAGAGAAAGGTTTATTAATAGAAGTCTTTTACATACCAGCTTCCAATTCTATGGATTCTGTAGTATCCTGAGAAATTCTAATTACAAGTCAGTATAATGGATTCTTTAGAACAAAGTACAGAGAAGAAGAGTAGTAAAGTTAACAATAAAACTCAACTAATAGCACATTGTAAATTCACGCAATGTTCTAATAGTTCATAAGACTTCACCCCAAGATTGCCACTGTAAGTAAAACTTTCGGAATTATCACCTGTTATAATTCTCCACTATGAACAACATAATCACAGAAATATCCTTTCTGATTGCTCTAATAATGACATTGGATAGGAGATCTAATCTTTGGAAGACTGGCAACATGAAAAAGATGGTGTAGCCCCCTCCGGGGCTACAGCACACTGAACACTTCTGGATGTATAGTGTGGATTGGGCTTGAGGCAGCCTGGTCTAATGGAAGGTGTCCCTGCCCATGGCAGGGGTTGGAATCAGACAGACGGTCTTCAAGGTCCCCTTCCAGCCCAAGTCGTTCTGTGATTTCTTTGCTTCTCCACTGCTGTGGAGGCAGAAGCGGCCAGAGCCAGCTGTGCTGTGGCCTCATTACCACCGACAAAGGACCGAGGGGACCACTTTTCAACTTTGTAAAATCCGGGGCTTAATCCACAGAACTCCATATGACCGTGCCAGCAGCTGCCCCCCTTCGGATCACAGAGTCTGCCCACTCTCCCTGGCGGCGATGTCCCGCCCGCCGGGCTCCTGCGCTGCCACCAGACCAGACGAGGCGAGGCGAGGGCGGGCAGGCAGAGCCGCGGCAAACGGCCGAGCTGTGGGCGGGCGGGCCGCACGAAGGCTCCGCGGCTCCCCCGCCCTTTCCCCGCCGCGCCCCGCGGGTTGGTGACGCGGCCCCGGAAGGCGCCGCCGTCACTTCCCCGGCCGCCATCTTGTCGGGGCTGAGGCAGCGCCCGCCGGCCCCGCTCCGTGTGCGCGGCCCGCCTGCCCCGAGCGCCGACCCGCCATGGCCAACAACAGCCCCGCGGTGGCGAACTGCCAGGGGCAGCAGGTGGCCCAGCACCCGCCCGGCGCCGTTCCGCCCGTGCAGCAGCCGCTGCAGAGCGGGGGCCCCAAGCCGGCGGCCTCGGGCAAGCAGGGCAACGTGCTGCCGCTGTGGGGCAACGAAAAGACCATGAATCTGAACCCTATGATCCTCACCAACATCCTCTCGTCGCCCTACTTCAAGGTGCAGCTCTACGAGCTCAAGACCTACCACGAAGTGGTGGACGAGATCTATTTCAAGGTGAGCCCGCGGGCCGCGCTGGCGCCGGGCCCGGTTTGGCTGCGGCCCGCGCCTTTTCGCCCCTTATCTTGCGGTGAGGGATGGGAGTAAGTATCGGTTCTGTTGCTGAGCTGGGGGAATCCAAGGCTCTGCCTTCTCTGCCTCACCAAAGAGGCGTGTTCCGCGTCGGATTTGGAATTGCCGAGCTGTAAATGGGTTTCGCAAAGGGCAGCGTGAGCGGGGCGGTGGGGGCGAAATGGCCGTCTGAGGGCTGCGCCTTCAGCCTGAGCGAGCGGGAGGGCGCGGATCTGTGCCGCCGCCGGAGCCCGGCCCTCCCGCAGCGCGGAGCCGCCTGCGCGCCCCGGAACCACCCAGCAGCGATGGTGCTGACCCTGGGTGTCTGCGTGTGGCTTTCATCCTCAGCTCCCAGTTAGGATTCCCTCCTCTGGAACTCAGCTTACAACTTAACGAGTTCCTTTTAGTGCTTCTCTTGGCGTTAGGTAAGATGTGCTGGGGAGATGAATGGTCTGTATCAGGGCACCCATGTCTCGGTTCTTGTTTTGTTAGCAGGATTGAATCAGTTTTGCACCGAGGCTTCCATCAAGCCACTCTCCCAGGTAGAGGTATGCATAATTAATGCTAATCAACGCAGCCACTTTCTTTGTTCTGATAAGGAGACCAAAATTTAGATAATTCAAGGTTAGGTAATTCATTTAGTCACCTGTGTTTTGGTCGTTATTGGCGTATTTTTTCAGGTGAATTCATTTTGCTTGATAATGTCACTGTGTCAGCTGGTGGGTTTCAGTATATTTGAAATAAATAAAATAAAAAGCAAAGGTAGCCTTTTTGTTTCATTTATCCAAGCCAAATCAAGTTACTTAAGGTACTATAATTGTGAAAAATAATTCCACCACAGGTTTTTGAGATTTTTTTGGCAGTTTGTGCTTACATATGCTACTGTTTTTTCATGTAAAGATAGCTTTTCTCTGCCTGTGCTCTGTCTTTGGAGCTGATTATTTATTTTTCCAAAATACTTAGTGTAAGTAATACTATTGTCAGCAGCATCTCTCCAGTTAATTTACTACGTTTCATGTGTGAGAGACTCATGACTATCTGAATGAAATGTAATGTTATGAAATTAAATGTTTACTTACACAATTGATTTTTAGAGCTGAAAAAGTTATGAAAGAAACATATTTTCAGAAAAAAATTTGAGAGCTTACTCTATTTTTAAAATTAAGCCCTTCAGATGCACTAAAAAGTATTTGGTGCAATTTGTCATCTTTGTACTGGTAGAGCTCAGCAGCAGTAGATCAGATAGTTCATTTGCTTGACCTTCTGTTTCATTTTTATCTTAAATTCGGGAAGAATTTTGACAAGCCATTAAAACCTGCATATTGATCTGATTTATTTACTGAACTTGACAGTTGGTGACACAAAACTGCATGCTAAATAAAGAGAAAACTCAGCCCCTTACTCACTCATGAGTAATGGCTGTGAGGGAGAAGATAACCTGATGGTTCAGCTGCTTCATTGATATTAATAAGATCTGAATTCTCTTCATGTTTTAAGATTCCCGAATAATTGCTGTGGGGTTTGTTTTTTTTTTTTTTTTTTGTTAGTTGTTTTTTTGTTTTGTTTTGGTTTTTTTTAATGAGTTGTTGGGTGGTTTTTTTTAATGACCTGTCATAGCAGCTGTATCTTCAAGTGTATTTGTATGTCTGAGAAACAAGTGGCTCTTCTAGAAAATATTAGAATGCTGGGCGCTGGATTATGGGGAAAGGTGATAGTAAGTCAAACAGGCAGCTAGTGATAAGGACCATCTTTGGAGATATGGATTGTGTCCAGATACTTGAATGAATTCATTTGTAATTCTGGGCTGCTGTTTCAGTTCTGTATCTACGAAGTGTAGGACTTCCTCTTTCTTTATCCCTGACCTTAACACTATGTGCGTGTCCTCAGTTTCATTTCATCTGTGTATTTCCAACAAGTCAAGCATGCAAAGCAGTCTTTGTGGGATCAAAACTATAATTACTCCTTTTTGAAATGAATATTGTTTTCAGGGTTTTGTTGTTTGTTTTAATTGATACCTGTCAAAACCAGCATGTTTACACTGAGTGTAATTAAAGTTGAAGACTAGCATTTGTGATAATGTTGTACTCAATCCTTTGACTAAAAAATACTTTTCATTTCTTGTGAGAGGCAATACTATATAACCAGAGGGATATGCAGGATTATTTGTGTAGTATTTATGAACTTCTCATGCTAACAGTACAGGAAGTCATAGTGGATTTTGAATTCTACAGTATTGGCATCTCTCATATTTCCTGTTTGGCAAAGACAGCAACTATAAAAACCCAAACACACAGCTCAGCAACGTCTTCTGTTAGTGTGTCTCTGATGTCACATGATTGTGTTCATAATTGGTTTTATTTCATGTATTGTTAAAGAATCTTAATTTGTGAAGTACCATACAGCATGAACTCTTACTCCCAATCCACTGTAGCACCATTGTACCCTTTTTTGTCTTTTACATATGTTTTAAGTTGGTGTGTTTAGGAAATATACTTGTTTATTGAGCCAGATATTGCTTCTCTGAATTTCAGAATTTCAAATGTATCATAGGCAATTATGTGGTTCTGAGCTTGTTTATGACTCTTATTGTCAAGTTTTATGAATGGTGTTGATTAACTTTCTTTGTGCAGTTGTCCCTAAATATATCTCAAAAGATATGTCTTGGGCAAATTTTACATCCCTGCAGTCTAAGAGAAAAAATATTGACTTTATGTTAAAATACTACCCTTAATAAACATATTTCTTTTGTCCTAAAGAGATAAAGAAATAGAGATAAAGAAATCTCTA